GACACCTTAAACACAAGTTTACCAAAGCTTGATATTAGCCTATGTATCTTGTCAAGAAAGGAGTGATACCTTGGCCAATTTGATGGGTCAATAATGGCGTCAATTGCAGCATGACAATCAGACCATATTTCAATGTTATCCAAATGCAAGTCAGAAAGACTATGTAGAACCCAAAGGATCCCTCTTAATTCCGCAGCGATACGATTTGAAGCGGGTAGAAACATTTCTCGCGCATGGAAAACTGCATCTCCTTGGTAATTCCTTACCATCCAAGCTCCACCACACATATGAGACTCATTTAACCAAGAGACATGAAGATTACACTTAAGAAAGTTAATGGGAGGTTTAACCCATCTGGTCTCACGGCGAGAATTCAGACCAGTACCAAGAGGAGGCTGCGGTTGTGTCTCCTTTAACTTATTCCACAGTTCCGCTTCTTCTATTGCATGAACTACCAATGCATTCAAATCACCTTGTTTCCCAGCATATAAAACTTCATTGCGGTGCTTCCAGATTCCCCACAAGATCCACGGAATCGCCATACGTATAGAGAGTGAAACACTATCATTGCTCATAACTTTCAACAAAAATGCTAGATTGTCATTAGTTGAATCTGTAAACCCGTGAGAAGGTAAGGGAATGTTGGCAATCTCCCAAACTTCTCGCGCTGGCCAACAATTAAAAAGAACATGGCTGATGGATTCCAAATCATTTTGACAAAGAGAACATTGAAGAGCAGAATTCATACCATGAGCCTGAAGACAAACCGAGACTGCTAAAGCACCAGATAAAGCTCTCCATAAAAACGTTTTGATCTTAGGAATAGTCTTAATCGCCCAAATCTTCTCTTTAAGTATACAAGTCTCCTTGTCATGAGCAGATAAAGGTGTAGGATCAGTTTGTAAATGAGACAATAACCAATTACCACTCTTGACCGTGTAACACCCAGACCGGTTATAAGCCCATACATAGCTATCTGCTGCAGCCACATTTGGAGGATAAGACATAATTCTGACAACATCCGGTGGAAAAAACAGTTCCGATATTAGATTGTGGTTCCAAGAGCCTTGGGGGGTAATAAGGTTTGAAACCCGCAAATCTAAATCAAAAAGAGACTGTTTGTTGAAAGGACGACGCAGGACGTTATCAAAGATCCATTTGTCAATCCACACACTAGTAGTTTGTCCATTCCCGATGGTTTTTATGAGGCCTTTTCCAAGCAGAGCCCTACCATGGATAATGCTGCGCCACGCATAAGACGGTCGAGCCCCAACAACAGCATCCATAAAATCCTTACGGTGATAATAACGTGCTTTATATACCCACGCCAACAAAGAGTTTGGTTTTGTAAGAAGTCTCTAGACCTGTTTTGCGAGTAAAGCTTGATTAAAATCACCAACAGCTCGAAAACCTAAACCACCTTCTTTCCTTGTTTTACACATCTTTTCCCAAGACACCCAATGCATCTTCTTATGTTCTTCACATGAGTTCCACCAAAAGCTTGTCATTGCATTCGTAATCTGTTGGCATTGATATTTTGTTAGTTTAAAACAAGACATGGCGTACACAAAAATGACAGGTAAACATTGATCCAATTGCTTCTCAAATGTACACAAAAGTGACAAACATTGATCCAATTGCTTCTCAAATGTACACAAAAATGACAGGTAAACATCATTGTCTCATTAAAATTATCATTTTATTCTTATCAAAAAAAAAAAATTATCATTTTATTTGGAAGTTAGAAGTGCATTCGCAAAATAATTGTCACCTGTGGTGGTGGTATTATACTTAAATAAATTGATTAACATTCTTCAAATAAAAAGCGTTTTTACTTTTTCCGTCAATGGTTCAGGTTTAGACTAGGGAATTTGGGATTTCTAAAGGATGAGCAACTTCGCTTTGTGCAATTAAATAAGGTCTTAATTTCTA